TGGAGGCTACAGGGCCTGGTACTGAACACTATGCCTCTAGTACTGAGGGCCATGGGGGCTTGGTGGAGGCTACAGGGCCTGGTACTGAACACTATCCCTCTAGCCCTGTGGCTGGTAGCACCAGGAACCAGATGGGCTGGCAGCATGCTGCAGAGCAGTCCACCTCTAGAAGCCCCCCAGTGCAGAGCAGTAGTGCTACTGGGCCCATCAACAGTGCTGATCTCTGCGACTTTGAGTCAGATCTGTGCAACTGGACCCAGTCTGCTGCTGATGAATTTGACTGGAGTCTTCACCGGGAGAGGCCTGTCAGCAAGGACCCCTGCCACAGCAAACCTGGTAGGGATAGAACCAGCTGCTGTCTTTCACATTGTTCCATTAGTCCGGAAGCACAAGTAAGGATGGGCCTGGCCTACCCCTAAGTGTAATAGTTATGGACTTAGCACAGTCCTCAAACTCTGGTTTTCCTGAGTCCAGTTTGTACTGGACCCAACTTTTAAAGGAGTCCAAGAACAAAGAGAAAAATTCCTCCAAGGTTATGCTTGAATCCAGTTAATGGTAAAAACAGATCAGTTGGTTTTGCTTCCAGGCTTTATAGCCATTTGTAATTCCCCCCCCTTGAAACTTAAAGTAGTCTTTCCTGGTCTATTGCTCTCCCAGGACAGTACCTGTATATCCAGGCAGCATTCCCACTGCAGAGTGGCCAGACTGCGGTGCTGCAGAGTGGGGAGCTTTCGGGAGAGGTGTGCCTGTCCTTCTGGTACAGCATCTTTGGGGCAGGAGTGGGTAAGTTGGGGGTCCCAGCCAGCTGATGGTACATCTTGTAAAGCTCACTGTGGCTTGGGTGGTGCACTGAGCCCAGGGATTATCTAGGGTCTTCTCAAAGTGTAAGCTTTGTGCTAGAAGCTCCATCAGTGGCAATGGGGGGGGGGGGGGGGAGAATCCTCACTGCTACAGGTTTCCCTTCTTTATCAAGTCAAATGAGGGGACCACCATGCATGCAGAGTGTACAGTCAATGGGGGTGGGTGGGCTGAGTGGAGTTGACTAACCTTGGAAGGCTAATCCTGTCTACATGATCTCCTGATGCTTGACCCACAGGCTCCCTGGCGGTGTACATGCAGTCTCTGACATTCCCCTCCGGCCAGCACAGGGTGTGGTCTGACAGTGGGAGCGAGAGCCGTCTGTGGTATCTGGAGAAGCTGGACATCAGTGGGGTGGGGATGGAGAAATACAGAGTGAGTGCACTTAACCCTCACCTTTTTAAAAAAAAAAAAAAAATTAAATCCTAGATGGCCTGAATGTTTTCCAAGATGACAACAGTGTGATTCATTACAATCCCATTTCTCCTCCCTTAGATCCTCTTTGTGGGCACCATTGGCAACAGTTACTGTGGGGATGCTGCCCTGGATGATGTGCAGGTTCAGAAGGGGGTGTGTCTGCCTCAGCACAGGCCTCTGCACTTCAGGAGAGGGCAGCGGTCTGTCCCTTCTCCAACACCGGGCACCACTGCCAGCTCAAACGCCACCAGCCTCTTCTGCAGCTTTGAGGGCTCCCTGTGTGGCTGGACCCAGTGCCAGAGGGACAGCTTTGACTGGAGGCTGCATGCTCCCCTGGCACCACGGCAGGGGAACTGTATTCAAGAGCGAGGTAAACTGGAGCTTAGAAACCTGCTGCACAGCAATTTCGATCTACTTCAGGCTTTCCAACCTGTAGGCTCTATGCCAGTTGAATACTGCAGGGCCACATAATGGCTCCAGCTTTTTAAAACTGGGATGATGTTGGAAGGAGTGTCCCGATAGAGGAATATTAATCACTCCTGCTTCCAAAGAGATGAAGGGTAGTTTGGCTTTCATTTAACCCTCACTACTGAATGATCACGAGCTGTCCATGGAAATCCACACCACTTGGTTTCTACCACGACCAGATCCATCAACAACAGGGTAGCTTTATTTCCCCCGTGTGTTGTACTGGCAGTGTAACGTTTTGTACCATGTTTCCTCAATTGGATATTTTGCCACCTTATTGTCCTCTTGCGGTTTGCACAATTTCTAGTACTTTGTAAAAGGGTCTGCTGTGCCAATGGTTTGATGACCTGACGGTTTGCACTTTCTGCTGTAGAATCTTGAGACCGATCAAAACTAGACCTGCTGGACAACAAATCTTCACTCCTGCTGTCTGCAGTGTTCCTATGCAGCAGGATTCGTAGGCATTGGTCTATAGCCCATATAAATTCCTGCAGTGGGAAAAACAGATGGTTGTCCTCTAACCCCAAGCTTGGCTTGTGTTCTCTCTCTGTGCTCTCAGAACAGTACCTGTACATCATGGCAGCCTTTCCGCGGGCGCATGGGCAGACAGCAGTGCTGATGAGCCCTGTGCTGCAGGAGTCGGTGTGCTTGAGCTTCTGGTACAGCATCCTGGGACGTGGAGTGGGTGAGTACCTGGGGCTGAAACTTTTTCTGAGTTACTTCTGCCCATGCTGCAGGTTTAATGGCCAATGTTGACCCAGTGAACTTGCATTTCTTGGAATGTTTCATGGCATTCACCCAAGAGGAAGCTGAAGAACTAAACCAAAACCTATTCTAACACTGTTCTAAAGTGAAGGCTTAACACTGGTAGTTTCATTGTGTTGCTCTTCTCCTTTAAACTGATTTTTGGATTAGGTGGGTATGTCACTGGCTTATTCCTAAGTTTGGGGTACTTCATGTAAAGGGGAGGGGAGGATACAAAATGGATGATCATCCAGCTGGTCTTGCTAGTAGCTTTATTTGCAGGAATATATCCAGCTATTTCCTAAAGGAACTGGCTAAATGACCTGTTCCTGACCCTGCCAGTATTGTCCTTTTTGCCCCCCAGGCTCACTCACGGTGTACATGCTGTATGCTGACACTCCTGATGACTGGCACAAGCTGTGGGTGGGCCGAGGCAGCGGGCGCAGGACCTGGGCCTGGGCTGAAGTGGAGTTGTACATGGAACCTGGGAAGACCTTCCAGGTAGGCCTCTGACTGCCTACCTAGGGCTGCTGGATAACTTCAAGCAGGGAGCCAAGCTAGTGGTGAAGTTGAAGATGCTCCATTTCTTCCCAGTGTAGGATTAATAACCCAGTCAAGATATCTTCTGGAGTTGCCAATCCTTTATGGTATGGATTTACCCTAAATCTGCTCCACCGGAGAAGTGGTTTCTATCCCCTCTCCTACAGAGCAGCAGTGCATCTAGACCTTCACTGCTTACCCAGTTCTGTGACTGAACCTGTTGAGATGGTGATCTTGCAGGAGGCACAGGTTGAGCTCTGTGGTCTTGGGTTTGAACCTGGGTGACCTCACTAGATGACTGGGATTACCCTAAAGGTTGCATGCAACTAATGGAGAACCCTTGAGGGGAGGGTGAGGTTAGTTGACTGGGGTTTTTGGGCACAGTACTCCCTGTGGAATCCCAGGTGCTTGCAGTCCTGTTGGTGAGGAATCTGCCTCTCTGATCCTCTGGTATGAGGCTGTGATGTTAACAATGGTAGGGCTGAAGTAGCAGAATGAGGAAGAGTAGGCAGTTATCCTGTCATGGGAATTGTGGCTGTGAGCCAAGGGAAGAAATCCTATTGCCACCCTTTTGAGTAGAACAATTTCCAATTCTACATTTGGTAGAAGCCCTATTTATGCTGACCATTCCCTAAAGAGGAATGCTTTAAGTGGACTGGATTCAAAGTCCAGGACTGGTCAACTCCCCCCTCCCCCCATGAAAACATGCTGCTGTCCCTTTGCAGGGAAACCTGGTTTTTGAGTACTTGTATTTTTTTTTCCACCTGCCTGTAGAATTAATTGTTCTGTTGTCCTGAAATTCCTTTAATCCCCACTGCAGATCCTGCTGGAGGGGATGATCCAAGAGGCATCCTGTGGAGATGCAGCAGTGGATGACATCCGGGTGGAGAGAAGACGCTGCTCACGGAAATGAGGATGCTAACCATGCTTGGAAAGACTGGACCAATAAACCGCTTAAGCGGACACTGTTGTGCTTACTGTCCTTACTTGTATGTGTATGCTGGAGAGGGTGGTGTAGTTGGACACTTCCTATTCTACTTCTGCGAAGTAAAGCTTGTTAACAGTCCTGTGTGCATGTCTTTCAGTATGTGAATAGCCTCCTCTATGATGTATTTAGGGATGATCTGAGACCATGGCTCAAGTGCAGGAAAAAGCACTTAATGGTCTGGCTGGACTAAGAATCAAGAGGAACAGGGTAGCTCCAGCATCAAGATGTGGGAACTCCTGGCTCTGTACTTCCCAGTCAACCTATCTGCTCTATTGATCTCATTCGAATACTTTGTGTCCAGCTGTTTAGATATTTGTTGCTGCATGCAGGCTGGCCTGAGGTTTCTAACTAAATCTCCCTTTAAGGAAGGGCCCAGTTAATGGAATAGAACTGGCACAGCCAAGCAGAAGCTGTGGTCTTATAGTTGTTAGCTGCACTAATCTCATCTCCTGCTTTCTTGAAAGATGGTGGTCTCAAACAGGGCTGGTTAGGTTGTTCTGCTCTGTCTAAAATTAACCTCCTTTAGTTGTTGGAAAGAATCCAGGATATTTGGTGTCAGTTTGCCTATTAAACCAACTGGACCCTTTGACTGGGCATGGTCTTATACAGTGCCAACTTGGATTGGCAAAGCTTGGAGTGGGATTCCTCTCAATGTGATGTCATGACTAGAAAATGCTCCATGAGCTAGATGAGCCCTGTCTGTAATCACCTTGTTATAAAATAGTTAATTGGTAAAACTATCTACCAATTCTGAGTAGCAGGATAAAATCTCATTCTCACAGACTGGTAATTGCACCCCTGTGTGTGTGTATATATGTGATTTCCAGCTAAAATAACTACAGTAGATCTGCACATGACCATTGATTCAGATGAAGTCATTTCTGAACTTCCATCCAAGAGTGATATGTACAGTACTCACTGAGTGCTCCATACTCCCACAACTGTTTGTGCAAAGATGTGCATCTTCATTTTAAAAGCACTTCCATGTACTGTCCTGAAGAGCAATGTATTTTTTTAAATATGGAAGAGCTGCTGGATTGTGGCTCTATAAATACCATGGTTTCAGGTGCCTCTTCCTCCTGAATAATAAAGATGGAATCTAATGTTCTGGAATGCTAATTACTTCTTGCCAAATGCAAGTGTGTAATGCAGTAGTGAAGTGCAACTTTCATAGAATTACTTTATTAATGTGATTAACTTTTCTTAGACCTGTGGGATTTTCTTTAAATGTATTTAATGGTTAACTGCAGTTTAATAGTACTTGTACATAAAACACCCCAGAGCCTGGTTTGACACATCACATTTAAGGAGCTAATTACATTATACAAAATATGTGACTGAGAATGCATTGCTGCTATTCAGCACTGGGGCCCTGGGTTCAATTCCAAGTCTGGGGTGATGTCTGTGGAGTTTGTACAGTATGTTCTCTCATATTTGTGTGGGTTTCCTCTGTGTTCTTTGATTTCTTTCCATAGACCAAAGACATGCTGGTAGGTTAATTGGCTTCTGTGAAAATTGGCCCTGGTGTGAGTGTGTCTGTCTGCCCTGCGTTGGACTGGTGTCCCATCCAGGGTGTACCCTGCCTCGCACCCGTTGCTTGCTGGGATAGGCACTGGCTCCCCCACGACTCTGAATTGGAAGAAGGGGTTAGAAATTGTACAAACGGATGTGACAAAAAGTGAGAAGATGGGCTGACAGCTGGTCTGTCTGTACCTGTTTCCAAGTATCAGTACCAGAAGAGCTAGGAGAAGCTGTAAAAAGCTGTAAAAACCAACAATGAGCTGGTTGAGCTCATTAAGAGCAGAATTGAGTTATTACTTAAAATGCAGTTTAAGTCCCCTTAAGAAAGGAGATTAACTCCATAATGGCAGGAACAACTAGTGCAGGCCCAGGTATTAGGCTTTCTCTTAAATTGAAAGAAATGATAACCGGAATATCAAGACAAAAACCGAGGTGTAATTTACAGTAATTGTGACGCATGACAACAGCCGTCAAGCTGTTTAACTTTCACCTGCAACACCCTATACTTCACTATCAGCCGCTCGGTGTTTCTGAAGTCCTAAATGAAAAACATTGACGTTCACACATCCTTGTTTGAACATTTTTCTGCGTGCGTGTTCCTTTTGGAACTGTTTTTTACAGATGAGCTAAGTCGGAAAAGACACTAATCTTCCGATCGTAAATTCAAATTGCATTTTACCAGCAAATCGCGCGGATTAATTCAATCTAAGCGCAGACCCGATGACAACAGCTACTGTATAGTAAAACGCGTGAGATGATCACGCGTTCTGTAACCGCGCGTTGTAATTGATTGCATGTGTTCCTGCTTGCGGGGGGCGTTTAAATGAGACAGAGGGCGAGCTGGATGTTCGCTACTCAGGGTTTGAGGTTGGGGGAACTTTTGAGTTCTTATACTCGTTATTTTTTCTCGAGTTGATGGTTAGGTTCTCTAGTTCGTGTTGACATGGGCTGTTTCCGCGTCTTCGTGTGGGTGCTGCTTCAGATTGTGCTTTTGGAGGGAGGTACGGTACAGTGTGTATATCGGCATGTGAAATTTAACACCCCCTTCTGTATCTCCTACTGCACCGCCATTTAACGACTACCCCCCCCCTGTAGCCGTCCGAAGACGAGGATAGTCGGAGCTGGGATGTTTGTGACGGATTGAGAGTGCTGTGTGGTTTGTTTCAGTGGGCACGGTTCCGGTAAGAAGAGGCTCGAATGAGGCGCATATTGACCGCAAAGGTAATGTCATTCGCTCTTCGGCTTCTCCTCGACTACTATACTAGGTTTATACCGCATAG